AAAAAAAAAAAAAAAAGAAGTAAGGTAATACTGAATTTAAGATTTTAGAAAAACAATTAGGTGGCTGAGGCCTTTTTTCTTTTTCTTTTTTTTTAGTAAGTTCTATCTTCTTTAACTGAAATCCTAGATATGAAAATCCTGAGAATAAAGGTAATTTAAAGTATTTTAGAGTTTATTATTCATAAGCTACATTGGCAGTTTTGCATGTTCAATTAAAAATTCCAGAAAAACACTTTTATCCAAAATATGGACAAGGTACTACAAATTTATAATAAATAGTACAAAATCAGAAACTATAACACAGAAAAAATAACTTCAATTACTTACTTCCTTCTAATGACTTTCTGTAATTCACATTAGTATTGCCTGGCAATTTAGGAACAAACCTATAAACATGAGTTTTACTAATCCAGCTCCAACCACCATATCCTGTTACTCTGTATTCCTCTCCTTTTTGTTTCCAAACCTGGTGTAAATGAAAACATTCTGATTAAAAGAGAATGAGAAAGCTTTTATAAAGCACATCTGGTTTTATGCATTATTACTAAACAAGATCAATAGTCAGGCAAATAAGTTTACCAATCAATTTTATTTTCAACAGAAATCAAAGATTTATGAAAAAACTGATTACAGCCGACCCTTGAACAACATGGGGGTTTGCCACCCCGCCATGCAGTCAAAAATCCACGTGTAACTTTTGACTCCCCCAAAACTTAACTACCGATAGCCTCCTGTTGACCAAAGCCTTACCAATAACATAAACAGCTGATTAACACATATTTTGTTTGTTATATGCATTATACACTGAACTCTTTACAACAGAGTAAGCTAGAGAGAAGAAAATGTCATTAAGAAAATCATAAGGAAGGGGGCACCTGGGTGGTGCAGTCAGTTAAGCATCCGACTCTTACTTTTGGCTCAGGTCATGGTCTCAGGGTCATGAGATTGAGCCCCGCGACGGACTCTGCACTCAGCGGGGAGTCTGCTTAAGACTCTCTCTGCCCCTCTACCCCCACCCTTTCTCTAAAATAAATAAATCTTAAAAAAAAAAAAAGAAAAGAAACATCAGAAGGAAGAAAAATACACTTACAGTACTGTACTATATTTACCGGGAAAAAATCTTGTGTGTAAATGGACCCATGCAGTTCAAACCCATGTTTTCCCAAGGTCAATTGTACCCCTTTCTAATATGAAAAATGTAACACAATTTTACAGTTTTCTAACAATTTCAACAAATTAGTCTAATAGCCCACCTATATTCTAGTAAGATAAACCTATGCTTATAAAAATGGCCAGAAAGATTTACTTTGTTCCAACTACATTAAATAAAAGATTGTGTCAAAAGTAAAACAAAATTTAGATACTCAAAGTTGCAGAATACAAGTCTCAGAAATGGCTAACCCTATTTTAAGACTATAATAAAAATTACCTGATGTTTAACTGGAAACGTGTATTTTACCCATGTAGCCTGTTGCATTGTTTCTTCCTCTTCTTGTTTTTTCTCTTTTTTCTTGACTTTCTCCTTTTCTTCTCTTTCAATTGATGTCATCCTGTGTAACCTAAGAATATATGAATGGAAAGAATTGCATTTGACTTTGAAAAATAAATTAAAAAGATAAAAATACACTACTGCAAATTAGGAAGACAGAATCAAAGGATGGTTAGCTATATTCCCATGACCTAGACAACTCCAACTCACAAAAATAAGTAAGTAAATAATTCCATAACGGGAAAAATCAAACAGTAGAAAGAAGCAAAAACATGCCATCCTTCCCATATGTGTCCCTATAAGAAATACACTCACTTATGGCTTATTCCTGAAACTATTCATATATACACCAACATCATATTTACACAAAAGGGATACTACATTCACAACTACACAGCTTTTAATCAATGAATAATTGCACTAGAAGATCTTTTCATACCAGAAGAGAAAGACCTTTTTAAAGAATTAAATAATATACCCCACTGCATGGACATACTATAATTTATTGAACCAGACCCCTATTAAAGAATACATTATTTCCTTCCCACCAGAAAGACCAACAAATCCAAAACCTTTTATTTTAACAACCAATATTTCTAATTCTATCTAGCACTGGGGGTTTTAAAGCCATCACAGGGTCCACTAATGTAGAATTCAGGCTTTCTACAACCATAGAGAAAAAGGCCCATGAGGTTCCCGCTTTTGGGTGAGGGGAAGGGCTGGGAAAGAAGGACCCACACCGATTCACATCATTCATTAAACACAGGGCACAGGCCACACTCTCTTTTCAGGACGGAAAATGGCTATCACTGCAACCAGCAGTAAGAAGACAGGAGGGTCTGTGGTGAGGCTCTACATTAAGATGATGAGACTAGATTTTTGTGAATGGGAATCTTTCCCATAAACAAGGACACTGACCAAAACCTATGAAGAGAAGAGCCTGTCTCTAAGAGCTCCAGTGGTAGAAGAACTGCTTTAGCACATCCCTACCCAGATGTAGCCAATCTTGCGGGCATAGCTACGAGAAAAAAACAAAACCAAACCAAAAAAACAGATCTTTTGTCAACCTGCGGGAGGTGGTGGTGCTGGAAAGATGTGCAAGGGGATTTAATTCTTTTTATCTCTATCCTCCCACTAAAAGTTCCTTATTTATCTCCACTTTCAAGAAAGCTTTGTGTCCCTAGGAATAGAAGACCCTAAAAGCTAGCCTACCCCAGGCCGAGAGAGCTCATGCCTATTAGCTGCACAACCACTAGTAGAGCAAACAATCTTCATTCTCTCACAACTGAGGGGAGGAGGGGAAAGGGAGGAGATGCTCACGGGGGACTACCTTACTCAAATACCGTCAATCTGCCACTACTCTTGGAACCAGGGAGTGGGGCAAGCTCTGCAGGTACAGCTTGCTGGATAACCTGACAGCCTCAGCCCGCTAGAGTAAGGGAGTGACTGAGCCAGGATCAAGTAGTATTTCTGAACATAGTTTTTGTAGGCTGAGCTTTAAAACCCTCTGAAAGTTCAGGTCTGACAGAGCAACTGAGCTATCTGCGCTGACGGTGGCCGGGAACGGAGCACTGTGTGGGGAGACCACTGATGCAGTGACACTCTGGGAGCTCACAGCTGGGCTGGACACTCAGCCTGTGCTCTTGGTGCTCACATGGGAAACAGAAACATTTTCATCACCAAATACAAAGGCACCACTTCGCTGAGGAGACCAGGCCACCGAGGTAGTACTGTAGCTAATCTGTGATGTTAGCTACTCTAGAGTAAATTCTATTGTTCTCACTGCCACCAAGACAATCCTTATGTTTTGGCAGCAACAAAGCTCAGCTCTGAAAGAGTCAATTCCATTTGGCTGGGCAGAAATCTTGGCTACTGCTGGCAGCCAAGAGGCCCCGGGAAGGAAGCCCGATCGGGCTGGTACCCCATCCATGCTGGCAGGCGCACTGGGTGGCAGGTGTCCCTTCCACACCTCCATGGTGCAACTGAGAGCATGGCCGGGAGTAGGGACCAAGCTTCAACTCCACTGCTAATCTCCACGTGGTGCCCAGGGTCTTGTGCTTGCTTTGCTGTTATAAACAAAGCTATGAGAAAAAATGTTTTGTGTCTTTCTTGGTAAACTTGGAGAGTACCCCCAGTGTCCCCCAGTGGGGAGGTAGCTAGGTCCAAAGGTTGTTGCACTTAAAATGCTGACAAGTAAAGCCACAAAGCTCTTCAGAATTGTACACTTCACACTGCCGTCCATAAAGCCACCTGCTTTCCCACACCTTCACTCAAGTTAGTACCAAACTTCTAAGTTAAGACTTTTTTTTTTTGACAGAGAGACACACAGCGAGAGAGGGAACACAAACGGGGGAAGTGGGAGAGGGAGAAGCAGGGGGAGTGGGAGAGGGAGAAGCAGGCTTCCCGCGGAACAGGGAGCCCGATGCGGGGCTCGATCCCAGGACCCTGGGATCATGACCTGAGCCGAAGGCAGATGCTTAACGACTGAGCCACCCAGGCACCCCCCAAACTTCTAAGTTATTAGCCCAGTTGAGAGATAAGAGATTATATCCCACTGTTTTGATTTACATTTCCTTAATTACAAGAAAAGTAAACATTTTTTAATGTCCACTGGCCTTTCATATTTATTTTTCTGCAAAATGCCTGTTCAAATCCTTTGTCTTGTCTGTACTGGACTATTAGTCCTTTTCATTTATAAAAGATCTTTATCAATTAAGGTAACTTCCCATTTGTGGTGCAAATATTTTTCCTCAGTTTGTCATCTGTCTTTTGAGTTTGATTATAATATTATTTTTCCACTCAGAATTTTAAATACATATATCATCCACTTTTTTCCTCTATGGCATCTGGGTTTTACATCTGTTTAAAAAAAAAGTATCACAACAAAAACATAATTAATCCATGGTTTCTTACTGAAGTTTTTTAGTTTTCGCTTTTTAAAAAAATCTTCATTGATCTGAATGTTTTTGCTGAGGCAGGGATCCAGGTGGTATTTTCCCTACACATGTCCTCTTTCTTTCTCTTACATGTAATGCTATCATTGCTAGATGCTCACATGTGTGTAGGTCTATTTCTGGGTTCTTTGTTCTGTCCCGCTACCCTAAATCTTACTTTTTATTGTAGCTTCAAAAATGTTCTAATATCTATTCCCTTTTTTCTCATGCCTACTTTCCTTTTCTTGCAATTAATTTTTCTAGCTGAAATATTAGTATCATTTTGATCAAGCCTGTCTGCCTCCCAAGGAGGGAAAATCCTATTCATAATGCAAATGAGTATGATTTTTGATAGATTAAGTTAATATAATTATCATAATGCATGGTTCTCAAAAGTGGTATACATATCTAAACATATGATGTATCTTTACCTTTTCATTTTTTTAAAAGATTTTATTTATTTGAGAGAGAGAGCGTGAGCAAGAAAGCAGAACCAGGGGAGCAGCGAAGGGAGGAGAAGCAGACTCCCTGCTGAGCAGGGAGCCCAATACAGGGCTCAGGCTCGATCCCAGGACCCTGGGATCATGACCTGAGCCGAAGGCAGCAGCTCAACTGACTGAGCCACCCAGGCACCCCTCTTCACCTTTTCATTTACTGAATATCCTTTCTATCTTTAGTAAAGTTTTAATGATTTCTTTACATGATCCTAAATATTTGTTAAATTTATTCCTAGTTATCTGAGAGTTTTGTTGTTGTTATGGGGATCTTTTCTTTCATTATAATTTTTTAAAATATGTAAGATATAACCAGGTTAAGAAAGAGAATTTTGTATCAATAACCAAATACATCAGAAGCTAGTGTGTCCCACTCCCAGGCAGTCATTATCCTGATTTTTGGGTTATCATCCCCTTGCTTTTCTATATAGTTTTATCACCCATGTGTATATCCCAAACAGTATAAAGTTTGGATTTTGAAAATTCAGTAGCAAGAATAAAACTAGCTGCATGAGCAAAAAGCAATACTGTTACTATTTAAAAAAGGTTCCCAGGAAAAAATAAACATGTCGCTGGGTCACAGTAGTCTCTTCTGGTGAAATCTGAGGGTGAGGGTCTGAGTGAGGCCTGGAAGACACTGGGCTCACCATACTCATGGTTATCTGGCAGGACTGTGTGGAAGTAAGGACACTGCACAGATATGATCCCAAATGGACTGCTATGGACCTTCTGCACCTATGCCCTCGGATGACTCTCTGGTGTGACTTGAGAAAGTTCTCACTTCTCCCCACTGACTTGGGCTATGGCCTTCTTAGGCAGGTTACCATTTGTTCACCTGTATTACTGCTTCCACGGCTTTACTGCTGCTGTATTCTCTGTTGTTCTCCTATTCTCTGTGGGTTTATGCTTTAAAAAAATCCCCTTGCCACAGTTTTCAGGGAGTTAAGCAGGGAACAAAATTAAATGTATTTATACAATTTGTTATTTTAACTCAGAACTCCCACGGTATTTTCTACATGGTTACTGTTACATAAAATGTATTGTTCTGGGGATGCCTGGGTGGCTCAGTCGGTTAAGCATCTGACTGCGGCTCCGGTCATGATCCCTGGGTCCTGGGATCGAGCCCCACATTTGGCTCCCTGCTCAGCAGGGAGTCTGCTTCTCCCTCTCCCTCTGCTCCGCCCCCAACTTGTACACACGCGCGTGTCCTCTCTCTCAAATAAATAAATAAGATCTTTATTTAGTTTTCAGATTGTTTCTGATAGTTTTTCAATTTTCTTGGGGTTTTTAAGCTGCATATAATAATTATGCCTTGGGCACCTGGGTGGCTCAGTTGGTTAAGCGACTGCCTTCGGCTCAGGTCATGATCCTGGAGTCCCGGGATCGAGTCCCGCATCGGGCTCCCTGCTCGGCGGGGAGCCTGCTTCTCCCTCTGACCCTCCCCCCTCTCATGTGTGCTCTCTGTCTCAAATAAATAAATAAAATCTTAAAAAAAAAAAAAAATTATGCCTTATCTGTCAACACATAATACATACATACATACACATAATACACACATATATATGTATGTTTTATTTCTCTTGACTAACTGCATTAGCTAACACTTAAGAAAAGTTAAAAAGCATCGACAGTGGGCATTTTTG